TTTGTAGGTATGTAAGTGAGGTATGAGTACTTGAGTAAAATTCAATACAAGTTGGTAGGAATATGTGCTTCGATTTGTTAGTACCCATAGATTTCCGAGGACACTTAATTGTAAAGGTGCGCGCGGAAATTTAAAAACTTACTTGCAAATGATTCCATGAAGGATTTTGCGTCGGTTGGGTGATGTGTCCATGCGGGTTATTATTCGACATTTCCACTTATTCTTTGATGTTGACTTTTGACTTCAGGGGTTCGCCAATACTTATTATTTCAGTTGTGAAGCATTTAATAATATAGTACCTTTTGGGATAAATTAGTTAAATCTGTTAAACAACTAAAAAAGAGGGGAAAAGAAAAAGGTTACTACATATAAATTCACTGCTTTATTTCCTATTATTCTGTATATTTCAAGTATGTTAACACTAATGATTGGCAAATTTATCGTCGCATATTTTCTATTAGATATCAATTTTTAAGGTTATTATATTAAGTCACATAATATCTAAATGAGGGCTAATTTAATTCCTGCATCGAGACTTAGTTTATGTAGTTATTTATACAACGATTTTGGTGTGAGGGAGAGGGGAGTGGGCATGGGCACCCAAAAAAAAAAACCGCTAAACGTAAAAGGATGGACTATGGATTTATGAAAAAAATACCATATTTTAAACCGAAATTATTCATAAATTAGTCCGATATAGTTTTTTTTTTAATAAAGAACTCTTGTCTATAAGTGTGTGTAAAAGTTCGTCCCCAACAATCCAAGATCGTTGTACAAATAACCAAACTGTACTCAGAAATTAGTTAAATAAACTTAAATTTCTTGAATTTAAAACACATTCGTAACACTAAAAATTTTAGTCTTTACTTATAGGTTCCATAAAGGAAAAACTGTTGCAGTTCGCATTTGCGGAACACCTTAACATTCAATATCCATAAAATGTTTCATATTCACATCCTCGCACACAAACAATCCTTCCCAATTAATCATGTTTAATTGAAGTGCAAAACTTCTTAATGGCGCAGACGGCACTAGGATAGGCCCTGGGGCCAGCAGCCCGCAAGCGAAAAAATCGCACACACGCACTTTTTTCTACAAACACATCACAAAACTGGAAGGTATATAAAGTTTTAACAACCGATTAAGCACTGTAAATTTCCATGTTGATTCATAATTGTTTTATAAACACC